TAAACAAAGCCAAGCATTTGCCCAGTGGCTGGTATTCAGCAGAGTAGCTGAGGCAGGAGGGATCCTGGCCAGAGAGCTCAAGCCTCAGGACTGCCCTGTGTACTGGAAGAGTCATCAGAAAGCTCTAAATGCTAGGACAATGAGGGGAGAAAAGATCAGAGGTGGGCCAGTTAGGAGGCATTATCAACTTGGGAGGGATTGACCAAATGTGGAAGAGTACACCAAAAGTGTGCATTAAATAGTACATTCTCTGAACTGGAAATACAGTTCTATACGCCTTGTTCATTCAAAACACCAATTTTTTATGCATTAAGATAAACTCTAGAACTTATCCTATCATTTAAATACTTCAGCAGAAAATCCTGAGATCCTGATTACAACACCCAGTGAACTCACCATCAGCTCAGCAGCAGGAAGCATTACTGTGCCAAGGAAGGAGACCTTCAGCTTTGCGTGGAAGGAGACCTTCAGCTTTGCGTGGACGAATACCTGGACAAGCCCAGTTAGGAAGTGAGGCTCAGAGGGCATGAACATGAGTGGGTATCAGAAGAGGAAAGGAAACCTCTGTGGTGAAACAAGAAGAATCAAGCATCTCCTAGAGAGCAGTGGGAAAGTGAAGCAGGAAGATTCTAGAAAGCTGGGCTCCTGATAATGCTATGCCTTCCTCATATCATAACTCACAGAAATCCCAGGACCTACAAGTTATTGTATCTAACTCTTACTGTGAATCTCCACTGACTATTCCACATCACCTCAGACATGACATGTCCCAAATGGAACCCTTATTGCTACTCATTTGCTGCTTCTCCTGTACTCTGTCTTTTGGCTCACTGGCCACAGTTCACCACAGTTCTCTGCTCAGTGGTGCCCTTAACTCCTTCCCCCCACACCCAGCATCCATCAGTCCCATAGCCTTTGCCTCATCCACATCTTCAACCCACCCTCTTCTTTACTCCTGTTGATACCGCTGTAGTCCTAGTAAGTTTCTTTTTACTTTTTCTAACTTCATGCTGGAGAGGACTATGAACAGACATCAGACTAGGATTACTTCCACTCTATACCAATCCAATCATTTGCTCACTCACATTGTCTGAATAATCCAGAATATACTGATATTGGATCATTGCATTCTGAGGGTAAAGAACATCAACCATTTGGGAAGAATGAACAGGATATAAGGATTAGGCAGGCAGTCCTTAGCTTGGAGTAGGGTTCAAGTTCTCTCTCTTAGGACTTATGTGTGATGGTTGAAGGTTGTGTCACTATAAGGAAGGAAACTGGGACTTTGAGATGATGGTGGGCTGGGAGATGGCTGTGAAGCAGCCTGCGGGGACCGTTTTAAGATGGACCTGGATTTCAGCTAAAGGCTCTGACAGCAGTCACATGTCTGAAGTTGCACATTCTTCTTTATGCTGAGCTGGGCTCCATTATTCCTGAATATAGACTGCAGACATCTTTCTACTTTCACAGTAGGGAGTTATGGGAACAATGTGTTCCCCAACCTAGTTTAAGGCAGGATCAGAGAGAGCAGCAACTTAAGGTAACTCTGTCTTGAGGGGTAGGGGCAATATGGTAACAGTGGCCCATGGGAAGATGAAGCAGAAGTTTGGGACTAAAGGGACAGGCTAGGGGAGGGGACCAAGGCAGATTTTCAGAACCTCTGAGTTTTACTGAGGACTTCCAGAAATCTGTGTAATGGGATCTCAGTAAATCTCACTTTCTTTGTTCAGGTAAGATGATAGCTCAAGTCACAAGAGCAAGGGAGACCTCACAAACCGGCCACATGTGTGTCTAGTAAGTTCTATGCTAGACTTTCCAGGGCACTTCTGTATACAAAAGTTTCAGAAAATGGAAATGAAAGCCACTCACAGACAGGGAACTCTACATCTAAAACAGCTTGTGATGTTAGGGTTCATGTTCAGCCTTCTCTGGGAGGCAGCTCCCGGTCAGATGAGTGCGTGATGGAGATTCCCTTGCCTGGTGTTCACTGGTGACAAGCTCCATGGCCACTGCTTTTTGGAAGGCTAGGGACTATATGGCTTCTGCTAAGATATAGGAGTGGATAATGGGGCATAAGAAGAGGTCAGGGCAACCCCCTCAATACATTGTTAAGAACTAGACTTAAGGTTATGCAATAAGACCTCCAAACCTTTAGGTGGCCTCAGCAGTAAATAGCCCTCTCCCTGCCAAAGTTGAGGGCTCTATCAAGACTTTTCCTGCTGTCAGATAAGGTAGCAGTTGCTTACAGAGCAGACATTTAGGATGCATCTTAGTTCCAGTACTGCTGAAATATTTATAGTAGCTACAAAGAACAGAAATAGTTAAAGCCAGACAAACTAATGAAAACTTCCTTGAAACAGGACCTATAGACAACTAAAAGACTGAGACTTCCCAATCATTGGTATGAAGGCTGTGATGTGGGATAGGAAACTAAGTTCAGTATCACACAGCAAGGACTAAGATAGTAGACCCAGGATATACATTTCCCAAAGTCCATTCTGGCCAAGGACTTCCTACCAGCTCCTTGGTGGCAAAGGACAGAGACAGCAGTGGATACCTATCATGTGCAATTTGTAGTTACACTGCTGTCTAGCTCAGGAAAAACAACCCACAAGAGTGTGATGAGGAAGGAGGGACCAGAATGTAGCTGATCGGGAAATTCTACTCAAGAATGGAATAAATTGCTCTTGGTTACCAGGGCTACCACATCATCAAAACCCATTGGTGATCTAGAGTGCAGTACAACCACTTCCTCTGACATGTGTGTACCTGAGTAGGGTTATCACACACACACACACACACACACACACACACACACACATGTAGCATCTCCTTGACATTTCATAAGCTTTGTTGATTATCTGTAGCATCTATACAGTGAATGTAGTCCAAGTTGGACCTAGATTCTGTAATCAGTGTCTCAGAAAATGGAAGGTTTTCTTCAGCAATCATTGATCTATAATAATTTCTTATTTGCACTTAGTAACAACAGTTGGTTGATTCTAAGAGGGTCTTGAAAATTCTGAGCTTTTGAAACAAAGAATGAGAAAGTAGACCCCCCAGAATCCCCCAAGTAGAATGTGTACCCTCAACCCAAAGTGACCTATACATCAATCTTAGAAGCAAGTGTTTCCTCCTTCAAAATTCTTTCTTTGCCAGAAGGTGTGGTGTGATGGAGAGGTCACCCACACTTGGTTAGCACCATGGATGGAAGGAATTACAAGCCAAGGTGACAAGTGACACCATGGAAATGCCTCCCTGGGCTCCTCCAAGGCTTTTGCATCCTCTTAAGCCTGAGCTCACCCATCCTGGCAAAAGGTGATAGAGGATGGAGTCATGGGTGATTTTCTCTGCCAGTCTTCTTATCAGTCACGATCAGGATTGTTTCCCACCTCTATGTATGCTTAGGGTATGGGGGAAACAGTGGGAAGGCATACAGGAGGAAATGAGAGAAATTTAGGGTGCAAATAAAAGAAATGGTGATGAGAGTTTAAAATGTGGCTTCATTTCTGCTTAAGTTAGACTCCTTGCTATGCCTCACACAGCCTGCTCAGAGACAGCAAATGCAGGTTCCTTTGCTCTCCTAATTACCAGAGGGAAGTCCTGGGTCCTTGTTTGAGAAGAGGAGGGAAAACAGAAGGGACAGCATGAAAGGACAATGTACCCTCTTCAGTATATGGATGCCTGTGGGTCAATGTTCCTGCCCCATGTAGCCTGACACTACATTCTTCCTCACCATGTGAACTCTGCTTTCTCTCCATGCCTCAAGGCCACTTCCTTGGTCCATGCCCCACATCCAAATCACAGGACAAAGGCCCCAATTGGGTCACCCCCTAGAGGAGCTCAGCTTCTCTTCCTAGAACTGTCCTAGGTCCTTTTTTCCCAGAGCCCCTGCTGGTGTGGTCCTGAGTTACCCTACTGCATGCCCTGAGAGCAGGAGGTTTAATTGAGCATCTTCCCAAGATGCCCAGGGAGCCCAAATCCACATTCCTTGCCTTTTACTTGCTGGGGAAAAAAATCACAATACTCATTTTTTTTCCCTAAATCAGAACTGTCCTTAGTACAAGTACCTTTCACCTTTGTACATTATATATCACTGCAATTTTAAACTTTCTCCCCTATATTCTCCAAATGACAAAATGCTCTGATGCCAGTTGCTTTGACTGCTGATCATTTTTCTGGTCTAGAGGCTGACCTCACAAGAACCAGGTGAGCAAGTGGCACCTGATCCATCCAAAGTCCCCACATTTTAAAGTCCGTCTAGCTCATTTAGCTGAGGGTCAAACTGAACATGTGAACAGTAGATTTGTAGCTAAGAGCTGGGATGCAGCACACAATCCCAAGTTCATCCCCATGGTCCAGGTAAAGCGAGAAAACAGGGATGGGGTCAGGAGGCCAGGGCCCTGCTTCCATGTTCCCATACTCTGGAAGGTTGGAGAAACCACAGTGCTCTGATGGATGGAAGGAAGGAAGGAAGCAGGGAAGGAAGGGGAAGGGAGGGAGGGAGGTAGAGGGAAGGGGAGGAAAAGAGGGGATAAGAGAAGGAGGCTAGATGAGGGGAGGGGAAAAGAAAAAAAGACCCTGGAGGCCTTAGAAAAGTGACAAATGACCTTCTGACATATGGTGTGACTTGAGGGCCTAGCCACTGAAACAACAGGCTCACTTCTGCAAGAGACCTGGCCCTGACCTTGTCCTGACCTCAGCACATCTCTGCTGAGCTCTTGTCAAGAAAGGCCCAGGCAGCAAGCCTTTGGGGACTAACAGGAAGGAGAAGGGTGGCTGATGGAACAGAAGCAGTAAGTCAAGAAACAGTTCTGGAAGAAGGGAGACAGTGCAGACCAGGAATGTGAACCTCCTGGGGCCCTCCAGTCATGCTGCCCCTTCCCTATGATGCCCTTACAAAGTCACACATCACATCTGCTGATGGACCCGTATGAATGAGACCCACTTAGCAGCTCTGGAGGAAAACTCCCATCTAGAGATGGGCAGAGTGCACTTACCTCCATCCGCAGTGGAGAAGCTCTGTGGAAACAAAAGCAGGGCAGAGCGTGACTGTCACTGTGTGCACATGCATAATCCCTCATCCATTTACCCACCCTCCCCCAAGGCCCAGGCCAGGAACTTGACCTTGGCGGGCAAGCCCCATACTCTCTTTTCTTCTGGGAAATTTGATTGGGGTCCCAATATTTAAGGGAACAGTCAAGGGTCTGCTATTCTACCTTATATCAAATGTCAATCAACATACTGAGAGATTTATTTCAACTATGCAGCAAATATTCTGGGTTGTGTTGGATAAATGATGTTAGAAAATCTCATCTTAAAATGAATTTCATTAGATTTTGTGTTACTGAGGAGACAAGATTACGAAATGGAGGGAAGGTTCTGAGGTCTTCAGAGCCCAGTGGCCTTACGGGTTCTCTGTTCTTTAGTACATGGTGCCATTTGCTTTTGTGAGCAGTGAAATTCCATGTGTATTTGGAATTTGTACCCATTTGATATGGTGTTGTCTATGGTTACTTTATAAAAGAAAGACTCAAAAAGCAAAGTATAATTAAAGACACAGGGAGTGTGTCTTACCTGCTTCATAGGAATTGGGTTTACAATTCTGGAGTCCAGTAGAAGACTTTGAGCATTAAGCAGAGGTATTTGGAGAGCAAGTGAATAAAGTTAATCTAATGACTTTTCTCAATGCCTCCTAGGAGTGAGAAAAGGTGGACCCATACCCAAAGTCAGGTCACTCTAGGGCTGGGCATGGTAGTTCATGCCTGTAATCTCAGCTAGGTGGGAGGCGTAGGTAGGAGGATCGAGGTCCAAGACCACCCCTGGGCAAAAATGTGAGGCTGTGTCAGAAAAAATAACTATAGGAAAAAAGGACTTGGGGACATGACCCAAGTGGTAAAATGCCTGCCTGGCAAACAAAAGGCCCTCAGTTTAACCCCAGTACCGACACCCCCCCACACCAAAAAAAAAGGTCACTCTTGGCTTCATGGGTGGCACCTGATCCTCACATATCTACCCCCATTTCACAGAGTGTGTGGCTCAGACTTCTCCATACCCACTGGCCTCTCCAGATGGCACCATTTTGCTAGGGCTGACTTTCCCATGGTAAGATTTAGAGAAATCCCGTGTGTTTTCTTCACCTTCTGCAGGTCCTTGAAGGATTTTTCAGTCTCCTTTAGTTTCTCTAGGATGATTTGCTCTTTGGCAGATATCTGGGACTCTTCACTTTCGAGCGCTTGTATTTCCTGCTCCAGCCTGGAAGACAACAAACACAGGACAAGTTTCTTCACTGTCCTGCCATCCATGGGCTTGCTCCTTTCTGCTGGGTGACTTGTACTTTCCTGGCAGTCTCTGCCTTACTTTATGCTCAAGAACCAGGCCAAGGTTTTACATTATAGAGTTTCCTGTATGTTCAGCTTCGTTGCCTGACAGACATGGGTCAAGGAAAACAATCCAGGGCTACTATCTGCACTAGTTCATAGTCATTAGTCTGCAATACACTTTAGTGTCTCCACTCCAACCCAACCAGTGTGCACATTTCTGATTTGGAGGTAGATTATGTTTACAGCACAGAACATAAGATCTGGATCTGAAGGAAATAGCCTCATATTCTCCAAGCCATCTCAGAACAACTGCTCTTCTACGGATGGCCAAAGAGCAAAAGGCCTGGCTTGCTCTAAGGAAAAACATTGATAAGAAATGGCTGGTGGCCAGAATGCTGGGGAGCCTGCTGTCTCTCCCTCAGTGGCCTGGCTTCTACTGCTAAAAAAGGGGAGATGGAAGGAACAGATGCAACTGTTCCTATTCTTTGGAACTTTACTCAGTATTCATAGTCATCCTATATAAAGGGAAATTTTACCACTGATAGGAGATTCTGGGAATATTCCAGAAACACAGCTACAGCTATGATTTGGGGGAAGTCTTAGCATTTGTATTCTTCTAGTAAAGTGATGGGAATAACTATTAGCTTTACTGAGTATTTATTCTTTGCCAAGAACTAAGAAGTCACATGGGTTATTTTATTTAACCTTCCCAATGACCTTATGAGTAAGGAATCCCCATTTTACAGATGAGATCATTAAGCCTTGGCATGGTTAAGTCCATTAGATTTACACCTAAAATGAAGCATTCAAAGTGAATTTTCTGAGAGGTAAGGAACTCCAACACATAGGTATGGATTGATTTAGGGAACACTGTGCCCCTCCAAGGCCTTCTCTCCTTCCTTCCTGGGTGTCAGAAAAATGACCTCTCGATAGATGAGACTTTGGGCCAGTTACTTGGGCTATGAAGTCAAACCCTAAAATCAATTTCCTTCTCCAAATGAGCATAACTTCAGATACATGTGTCATTTCACTCAGAGTGAAAGTGGATCCAGCCTCCCAGGACCTACCTGGCCTACACTCTCACCAACCTGCCTCTCTCACTGTATGCTTAGCCCATACAGAACTACTCCCTAGTCAGTCTTACATGTCCTCTAATCTCCTTCCTCCAGGAAACTCACCCCAAACCCCTAACCATTCTCAAAGTCTTAGTTTAGATGCCCCCTGAGGCTTTTACAGGCCCCCCTCTGCACATTTCTTAGCACATGTGGTTTGTCTCAGTTCTTATCAAGTCTTCTACATCTTACAGCAGTGGTCTCCACTGAGGTGTTTATGTCCCCTGGGGATTTCAGTATTGGCAAGCTATTCTGGCTGCCCAAAACTCCAAGGGGAGTAGCACTGGAGTTACTGGAATCTGGCACGTACAGGCCAGGGTTACTGCTAAACATTCTATAATGCACAGGACAGTCCCTGTGAAAAAAGAATTATTTGGTCCCCAAATAGCAACATCCACTATTAATTTCACTATCTAGATTAAAAATTCACCAAGGGGAGGACACAAATGCCAAATAAAATTTTAAAAAGCTGAACCAAGCCACACAAAGGTGTGGCCCAGCCAAGACAAGACCGGCAGAATTCCTCAGCCCAGAGAAAATTCCTCAACAGGCTTTGACTTGAGTGGCTGCGTGTGGGCTGAGATGTGAACAGCATCTTGAGAAGGGCCAAGCTACAGGGAGACAGCAATACTGAGATACAAAACTCCTCTGATGTCCCAAATGCTCAGCAAAATCTATGCATAGCTGTGTAAATATTTTGGGAGGAACTGAGGGACGGGAATGTGGAACAGGGCCATCACACATGAGATTGTGGAATGACTCAAAACTGAACCAATTTAATGGATGGAGGAGCTCTGTGCTGGAGGTCTCCTAGACAGACTGGAGGATACTACTAGCCAGTGGGTTCTGAGATAATTTCATTTAAATTTCAAAAGACAGGGTACTTCTGTAGATGTTTGGTATGTACAGTATCTCAAAAAATACTCCTTTTCTCCCCCCCTTGCCTCCTTGAGAGGAGTACATATTTCCCTGACTCACTGGCGTTGAGCTAGGTAGGCCATGTGATTTGCTTTGCCCTCAAGGTTGGTGGAATATTCTTCCCTGCCCCTTGACTTTGGGCTTGGCCATGTGACCTGATTTAGCCAGTGAGATATCAGCAGACATGGCATAAGCATAGATGGGCTTGCCCAGTTGGGTTTGTCCCCTTGTAGCTCTGTCAGTGCCAGGACAAGAGCTTCTCTGGGTAACTGTTGTCCCTTTAGCCTGGGCCTCACAAAGAACACACATAGGGCAGACCTGAGCCCAGTCAAAGTCAGACCTTAAATCAGAGCCCAGCCTAAATTAGCATACATCCAGCAGACTCACAGAAGTGTCCGCAAGAATAACCGACTTTTGGCTTAAGTCAGTGAGTTTGAGGGAGTTTGGTATCTAGTATTATTGTAGTAGTAATTAACTGTCACAGATCAAATATATGTGGGGATGTATATCATATATGTATGTGTGCATACATATATATACTAATTTATATCCCAATTAAATGTAATATACATACATATGTTTATGTTTATATATGCATATATATGTGTCATTATATATTAGATGTATACTTATATATCCAACAATATCTGAAACTAGAAGATTTAAAACAACATAAACTACCCTGTTCCTCTCCCTAATCCTCAGAGAAATCTGGAGGGGAACACCATACTCATTCATGAGCACTAAGCTCAAGAAAATAGGAAATTTTTCAGTGATAGTTGTCTCTGAGTAATCAGATTATAGATGATTTTAATTTTGTTTTTATAATTTTAAGTATTTTTCCAATTCAGAAAAAAATTCATGGCTGGGGAAGTAGCTCAGTGGTAGACTACTTGCCTAGCACTTACAAGACTCTGGGTTCAATGCCTAGTACTGAAAAAAAATGTATTATTTATCTAATCAGATTGTTTCACTTATAAAAGCAATCAATTGCTCTATAAACTACCTCCAAAGGTTCATGCTGAGAAGGCAGTGTCTTAAGGGCTGTGGAAGAAGAAGGGGCCAGGGCCTCGCTTCTCAGTGTCAAATGAAGGAGTTAAATGGAGCCCTCCAACATCGAAGTAAACCCAAAACCAATATTTACTGCGCTTGTTTGGCTGGCCAAGGAAGTAGGCACTCCAGGGGATTCCAAAACAAACAAGATTGTATTAAAAATGGCGGACTTAATATTAAAATGGCTAACTCCCAGAAACTCACTTCCCATGCAGCTGCCCCAAGTGGTTAAGAATTCTGTGACCTAATGCCCACTGGCTGGCCTGCTGTCTCCACAGCCTGTGGGTTTCAGGGCACACAGCTATATAGTTCAGGTGCTAAAGATTTGGGTCATGATACTGTGCTGCGTAACTGAGAAGGAATGGGGGGTGGGGAGGAATGACAACAATGAAACCAAATCTTTGTGATAACAACTGAGTTTCACCCCAACTGAAATGAAAGAAGGGAATGGGTAGTACATGTGTAAGTCTAAGCAAGTAGGATCCAAGGAGCAGATTTTTGTACAAAGTTTTCCTACAAAGCACATATGGCCTTGGGCCAGGTTCTGAAGGCCCTGAATGGCCCAGGCCACCACTTTCTCAGGAAAACCTGAGTCCTAGTGGCTGGGAAACCTCCCAAGTTAAGTGTCCTGGGCTTAGCAACCAACATCTCAACCAGGCTAGACATGCCACTGTTTTGTAGTTTCATGACTGAAACCTAATGCAGTTTCCTCTGAAGGCACCAAATAGATATTGCTGTGCTAAAAATAACGAATGAGCAGGAAGTGCAATTTATACTCAAGCTTCGTCAAGGCTCTTTGGGCTGTGACAGGTGCACACCACAGTCTCTGACTGGCCTGCTCAGTTTCTTCTGAGCAAAAGGTGGACTGTGATAAGCTGTAAGAAAAGGTGACACAACACAGCTGTGGAGGTTTAATTTACTGGAGATGAGGTTTCAATCAAGGCCAAATGGTCTTATAAAATCTATCTAGACCCCACAGACCATCCTCTCAGGAAAACACAAAGGACCTCTGGCTTTTCAGTGCATCGATCATCCTCTATTTCAAAATTCATTCATGTGTTTATCCATCTAACTTTATGCAAACACTTACTCTGTACCAGGTACTGTGCTGAGAACCAGGGACCAAGAGATAAATCAAACACAACGCCCACTCAGTAGGGCTCTTGGTCAAGTAACGAGAACACCCGTGTAAATACATAAATTACACTAAAGACCGAAAGGGTGATAAGAGAGGAAGGAACAATGAGTTGTAGAATAGTCCATTCCGTCTGGGAGTGTGTAGTAAGAACTCCAAGTTGTTTCCCCAGTATGTTCTCTCCCCTTCTTCCATATTAACAGATTACTTATTTTATTAGGGTGGCAATGAGCCCAGCTGAAAAAGTACCCATCCTGGTTTCCATTGCAGATAAATGTAGCCATGGGACAGCTCTGGCCAATGAGATATAAGTACAATTGTCAGGATTCTGGGAAAGCCCTGTAAGAGGGGGGAAAGGTTGATTTAAGTGGTATGTGCATTTGCTTTTTCCTTTCCTACTTGCTACAGGGACCTGGTGCTAGAGATGTATCAATTTCCACTTGCTGCTGTAACACCTACCACAAACTTAGTGACTTACAATGGAAATATATTATCTCATACTTCCACAGTCCACAGGTCAGAAGTCTGACATGGTGGTCACCAGGCTAAAATAAAGGTGTTGGCAGAGTTGTGTTCCTCTCTGGAAGCTCTAAGAGAGAATCCATTTCCTTCCTTTTCCAACTCTGAGGCTACCCACATTTCCTTATCTCATGGCCTTCTTCCTCCATCTTTGAAGTCAATATACGACTCACTCTGACCATTCTTCTGCAGTCA